CCTAAACCCCTAAACCCTAAAAGCCAAAAACCCCAAACCCTAAAACCCCCAAACACTGAAACCTCAAAACCCAAAACCCCAAAAACTCCAAAACTCTGAAACCCCAAAACTCCTAAACCCTAAAACCCTAAACCCCAAAACCCCAAAAACCTAAAAACCCCAAAACCCTACAACCCCTAAACCCTAAAACCCTAAAACTGCCCCGGCCTTGCTGAACCCGATATGCGTGCGCGTCGCCTCCCAACCAGGAGTCTCCGTGACCCTCTTTTTAGGGGGCCGTATAGGGTTTAGGAGTTTAGGGGTTTAGGGGTTTAGGGTTTAGGGTTTAGGGTTTAGGGTTTGGAGTTCAGGGGTTTAGGGTTCTTCTCTTTGGAACTCTTTTTTGCACCTGCCTGATAGGGGTTCAGGCGTTTGGGGTAGTTGGAATAGGATGTTGGGCTATGGAGGGGCCTCAACTAGCTAGACGGAAGGGTTCTCATTGCTAGAAATGGCTGGAAAAAAAATTGGGACATAGAGCGACCGCAAGAGTTAGAATAGGACTTTGGGGTGTTATATACTATATGTAGAATAGGAACCCTAAGAAATAGTATGGATATTTCTTCATGTTTCTATGCTCGAGTCATGTAACCTACATCCGGAAAGACGTCTACGTCATCAGAATGAGAGTATCCAAGTCCGCAGCTGCACAACTCGTCCTCATATGTGAGACGAATGATGACCTGTGATCCCTCATGACTCCTCCGTTCTGAGCTGAGGTGAACATGATTATCATTAGCTGTCTTCGCAATGCTCTTATCGAGGCTCGTCTTGGTATTATGAACTTCACGCCTGAGACCGCCGGGGGTGGCTCATGAGCTTCTTGACGTATCGGATTCCCGTCGGGCTGAAGTAGTACTCCTGGCTGAGTACCAGTTCCCTACGCAAGGGCGCTGTGGAGATTTTGAGAAAGCTTTGCTATGGTGGCGTAAGGGTTAAATGAGGGTTCTATAGTTCTTACGGGAGCTACAACAGTGTTAGTTACAACGGTTCTCCATGGTTTTGCATTGATTCATTGGGGCCGTATTGGTTTAAGCCGGCTTTAAGCGGGAACTATGAGCATCTATGGGGCTTTGCACCAAGGCTGTAACACGCGGCTTTGTCAGGACTTGGTCAGGGATTTTACAGGCTGCTTAAAATGGTGTCATAGGGTTTCATGGGGGTGTTCAAGCAAGCGGGTGCTCTGGGGTTTTTTATTGCGTTGCAGAGGTGTTTCCTAAGTTTTTGAACCCCCCAGGTTCCTTGCTCAGGGGTCGATCCTACTTCAGCATCGCATTGACAGGGAGAATAGAGCTTCATACCTGCACCCTAAACCCTAAAGCGAACCCATAACGAACCCATGAGGTTGACGCCACTTTGGCTGGTCAGACGTCTCGCAATGCCATCGCTCCTCGCCGTCTATGAGCACCGAAGTGTGGTACCCGGCAAAGCCAGCCAGTCCTGTCAGGGCAAACTCGCTTAGCTATCCATACTTGAAACTGTCGGAAACACTGCAATGAACGCGGTGCAGCTGATGGCCCTGCGGGGTCCTCTTGCCGAGGCAGCCAGCTCCACTTCAAGACCTGCCATGTGGAAGGTCGGGAGACTCAGGAGTAACATCGTTTACTCTGGCGTGGAGACAGGTCAGACGAGGTCAGCGGTGGTGATAGGCAAGAGGGCCACACACAAACAGCTGCCACCATGATCCATCAGCTCACGCAAGAATCACAGGACTGCCACGGTTCAGGCCTGAAGTGTTGAGAGACCTCCGGGAACAGAACGTTTCAGGTGTCGGGAGGGTTTAGGATGGCAGGAGTGTTTAGCATCGCTCCTAGATGCAGCTGCTCCTGCTTATGCCTGTCAGAAACACTACCAGGTCAGGCACTACCCCATGCAGGCGCGCCTCAGCTCCACCGGCTTCAAAAGTTTCTTGCCTCAGCATCTGGAATGATCGATGTTGGGACCAGGGGATCCAGCTGTCACCACAGGGTGTTTCTTGAGAGAAGACCCTGAATCAGTGGCGGCCAGGCAGCTCTTCGTCTTGGGGTCGCTGCCCCGGTTCGGCACTCGCAACAGCAACGTTGGACCTGCTTAGGGCTTAGGGAGGAGATGCAAGGTCTGTCTGATTGGGACTCGCACCACCGGATCCTGAAAACGTCTGAGAGCACCAAGAGTAGAGAACTTACTGCAATTGCAAGGTGCAACTGTAAGCCCTGATTACGAAGCGTGCCTGGCATTGTGGCGGCTGTGGGGTACACCGGGAAAATGCTGCTAAGCCAAATAAATGTTGATTTCGAGCATCTACAACCGAGGTGAAGATCTCGTCATGGTTGACGGGCATAGCTCCGGCTGGCTCTTCAGCTCTTGGGGGTGTTCAAACAGACAGAGAAACCCTGGCAGTCTGCGTATAGTCTATGCATCTATTGGCCAGATACACTGTCCTTTCCAGTTGCACTACCTCGAAGCAGCATGCCACGACTAAGAGGGAAACTTTTTTGCACAGACATCATTGACGCGCGCACACACGCACCGAGACAGGGCCGGCGAAAGGCTTGTTGCCACACACAGGGCGCCTCCATCTTTCAGAAGTGCCATCTGTGCCGTGGTATGGCTCTACGTGAGCACAATGACCATTGTTCAGTCGTATGTGCGCACTTGGGAACTCCGGCATCAACAAGTCAGCTCGCTGAAGTGCATGTCGTCCGCCATGCTGGGCAATCCTTCGACAGCAGGTGTCAGCTCACATCATGACCGTCACTCTCTTTGTACGGTTCCTCTGGAATTATGTTGGCCCCAACCAGCATTGCGCTTTCGGGACTGCCGGTCCCGACATGCACGGGCTCATACGTGAAGGTCACTACGTCTTCATATATTCGCAAGGAGCCCTCCTGTATGCCTTGTAGAATTAGGGTCGAGATTTTTCAAGCCCCCAAAATCCCTGAAGCCTGCTAGCCCCCTCTAAAGCGTGCCACTCTTCGCGTTCTCTGACTTTGAGAGGTGTCCTTGTGGCCGCTCCGCCATCAGGACACCCTCATCGGGAAGGAGGCCGGATCCTAATTGAGCAAAGTCGATTGCGGCGACTCGGGAGTGTACAGTATAGTATAGTACAGTACAGTATAGTGTATCATTATAGTATAGTACAATACTTTGCTATGTTGTAGTATATCAGTATATTACTCTTGAGTGTAGTGTGGTAGGGGCGCCGCACCCTCGTGCTGAGGCGGTCAATCAGGCATCAGAATGTTGCCCTATCATCCGGGAGCTAGGGAATCGAGAGAAGCATATTGGGCGCCCACTATCGCCCATGGCCCGTATTGGTGCAGAAGCTGGCCGATTTGTTTAGTTGTCTGCTGCTTTGGGCATCTTGTGTGAGGAGAAGCCGGTCCACTCGTACGAATTCGGCTACTTCAACGACACATATTAACAATTACACAATAACAATAATAATGATAATGATAATGATACTGATACTGATAATGATAGCAATAATAATAATAATTGTATATTGTTTTATCTTGCACTATATTCTATATTAATTATAGTCTATGTGGAGCTGTCGTAGCCCCAACATGGAAGCAACCCCTCGGAAAAGTTCCACCCACCCACCCGCATAAGTACATGCACACGCACACGTTGTGTACCTGATTATGCCCTGCATTCCCCCTCTTATAAGCCCTAAACCCTAAAACCTAAACACCTAAACACCTAAACCCTAAACCCCTAAACCCTAAACCCCTAAACCCTAAACCCTAAACCCCTAAACCCTAAACCGGAATCTGAGCCGATGCGCCTGCGTCCCGCGCCTGCGGCCTCCGCAGCGAGCGGCGCACAGCTCCGAGGAGGGCCGAGGCTCCTTGTTAAAGGAGAAGCTCAAGTGTGGAAGTGTCGAAAACTCAGATATCCAAGGCAGGTTCTGATTCGGGGCCTTGCGGGATTCTTGGAGATTGAAGGCTTTAGGGTCTGAGGTTGTAGGGCTGGGACTGCATATGATCGGCAGGGCTCAGGGTCTTGACGGCTTGGAGCATGGCTGACATGAGGGTTTTAGGTTTGGGGGGGTTGGGATTCGTCGGAATCCCTACATTCTTGATTTGCTCAAAGGGAGAATATGGACGCATCCCTATGAAGGGCTGTTCCTTAGTAGCCTGCGTGGCTGGGAGCATTACACGGGCTAACACTTGATGACCCAAGCCGGGTGTACCGACGAGACCGCACTTGGACCCGACTTGCACGGGCATGCACAGCCCCGTCAACAACAGGCTCTTCTTGTGTGCACTGGAATGCTACCACAGCAGCCCCCATAAAACCGCGAACATGTGTAACCCTAAAACCCCAAACCCCTAAACCCTAAAACCCTAAACTCCAAAACCCTAAACCCCAAACGCCTCAACCCTAAAACCTAATCTGCGAGATCCGGACTACAACGAGGCCTGCTCCGTGGAATTAGCGGGTGTCAGCTCGCAGCTCGCATGGCTGAGCGAGCGACCAACACTCACCCAACAAGCCCTTTCAGCAATGCAATATCAGTACTAACCATAATCCAATAGTAACTACAATCACAATGAAAAACTACTACTACTATTAGTAATAATAATAGTTTAATCAGAATAACAAGAATATCACTACGTAAACTACCACCAAATACGAATACCAACAACACCACTAGTATCAATGCTGTCGGCTAGTGAACACTTGAGTCCGGGGAGCGCGAAGAGGCCGAAGCTGCCACGTTTTCCAGCAACGGCGGGCCTTCCAGGGAAATTCGCCCAAATTCACGGGGTGTCGGGTTTAGAGTTTCGAGGGCTCCCTTCTAGGGATCTTTACACCATAAAATAGGGATCCGTTTATTTAGTGTTCTACGGCTACGGTAAAGTCCCATGCATTTCAATACTCCCAAACCACTGCAAAGGCTCTGGGCGGGCGTGTCAGAGTTGTCCTTCAGGGGCCTTAGTGGGCCTTAATATAGTATACCAGACTAGAACAAAAGCAAAGATAAGATCAGATAAGGTAAGATAAAATAAGATAACAATTATAACATAGCAGTATTTTTGGCACATCTCCCACGTTGAGCCAACGAGCTGTGATGGAAGAACACCCAGCGTCATCCTCTTTTTAGGTACGAGAACTCGGCAGGTTCGGGGACAGGTGCGGACAAAGCGCAAGGCACTGAAAAGCACATAGCGACTTTTGAGTGCGACCACAGGCCCCAAAGTAGTTCTTGTTTATGGTTTATATGTAGAATCCCAAAAAGGAACTACTTAGGGGCCTATGGGTGTACACCACAGACTCCCCTCCTCAAACTATGTCTCAGATGTGAAGACGGCGGATGTTTTTCTCAAGAGGGGCCTGCAGGATTCGAAGTAGATGCTTCAGGTAAAGGATACCTTGTAGGTAATGTAGGGGCCTTAATAAGCCCAATATACTATAATTATATTTAATAAGTCACCCCCCAGAATAGTAGACTTGTACGGAAAGCCGCTCCGCGCCTCCGGCACTTTCGGCTGCAACCGGCTCAATGCAGTCCTGAACAGAACGGAGCCATGCAGTCCTCTTAAGAAAAATCAGCGTCTCTCTGCCCCCAGGGCCTCGAAGATATCACTCTGGCCATTGGTCGAAGCTCCTGCGCAAGCCCGAGGAAACTTGCAGTGGCAACCTTTGACGATTCTCCCGGAGACAAAGTCTGCACCCGGACAAGGCCTGGTCGGCGGCAGACCAGCCGGAACCAGAGGCCGTAGACGGCTGGCGCCAGCAAGCCACTGAGGGTGCCTTCCCACTTTAGGGTTTAGGGTTTAGGGGTTTATAGGGGTGGGGTTTAGGGGTTTAGGGTTTACAGGGTTTGGGGTTTAGGGGTTTAGGGTTTAGGACGACACTTTGGTCTCTGGGGCCCTTGAACAACAACCCCCTACCCTCGGGCCAAGGTGCACAATGCAAAGTGGCTTGAGGCATGTCGATGCTGCCCCTCCTCGGAGGACACAAGGGAAGCAGCAGAGAAGGCTACCGTCGACGGTATTTTTTGAAGAGACGGACTCTCTCCTTTCCACTCCTTGGGCTGTGATATGAGGAAAGCTGACAGGACAGCAGCTCCAAGACCCGAAATGAACTCTGCAAGCAGGATGCCATGTGATTCTGGAGGAACAGCCAGAACCTTGGCCAACAAAGGCATACCTCCACATAGCTGAAGCTAGGGTCTGGCTGCCCGGAAGGAAAGCATCGGAAGTGATGAGCATCCTGCCAGCACTCAGCCCGGACCAGGCAACCCAAGGCTACCCTGACAGTGAAGCCGGGCGGCATTCCTGAAGTGATCAGAATTGCGAGTATGCACGAAACCCAGAGGAACACAGTCGCCGCCGATATCCTTGGGCACGCCACACAGGAACACATCCAGGAAGTTATGGACTGGAAGTCTTTCTTCACAACGCCACCGCATGGTAAAACGCCAGAAGCGCAATCCATGCTCGACCATTCAGTCATGATTTAGGCACCATTCTCTCGAGGTGAACTAGTGGCTTCCGATACAAGAGGAGATGTCAGAGCTGCCAGGCGGCATGAAGCGACATTCCTTGTTCCAGACCCGTTTGAAGCTCTCCTGCTCGGGCCAAAAGGCACCACTCCAGTTGCAGGACCCACAGCCGGACCATCGAAAGGTGTATCCCGACGAAATGGAACGCATCAAGAAATCGCAGAGAGTTTATTGCAGGACATGCCCTGCTTCACACTGTCTTCCCCGTAGTCCTGATGCTCGACGACGAATGTGCCCAAACCTCGTTCGGTGAGGCAGTGCTGCGTCTCGTCAGGCTGTGGTATGATCGCCGGAGGTTTACGAAGACGTTATCATACTGCACAAGGGCTGGGACAATTACCTCCAGAATCTAATTCCGCTACACAAAGGCGCGGCGCAGCACAACATGAAGCAGCGAGAGCGCATCAGCTATCCAAGCCCAAAGCATCCGCCACCGACTACGGGGGTGTCTGCCCAGAACCCAAGGTTGAAGGCCCGGGCGAGTGACGGCACCTTCGACCTTCTCAAGGAGCTGACCTCAGGTTGCGACTGCATGGCACTCGGACACGGATTGCAATCTGCCGGATCAGATCGAGCACACCATTGCTCTGCAGGTTCTCCCCGAAGCTCCAGGCAGCTTTCGATGGAGCCGAGATGCTGCCATCTCTGTCCTGCAGCCCTTCTCCGGCTGTCCTTAGCAGAGCCCATCGAGGGATCGAGGGCCCTGTTTCAAGCAAAGCTAAGTGAGTCTCTGGGTGCCTGGCTCCTGGCTGAAATCGGCAGAGAGGGACAGGCGAAGCTCCACGTTGAGGCGGCCGATGGAGGTCTCAGAGAACACTCTGAGTCCGTGGAGAGGGGGACTAGTGACTAAGGCACTAAGCAGCGGTGCGCGTCCGGCCTCCAGCCAGTGGTCCAGCTGGAGCTTGCTCCATATCAGCCTCTGTCGAGACTCACGTCTTGAAATTTCCACAAGACTGCAAATTCATTTTCCCTGTGCAGCCAGGAAACATAACGATGCCTCGGCTGGGAACATGAACCAGCATGGACCATCACCGACCCACCGGCTTCGGAACGCTCAATCAGGCCCTCATTCAAACTCACTTTACCTGTATCTCGCCTCGCCATGAGACGCGCGATGCATGCTCAAATTTGGGTTCTACCGGAACTTCGCAGCCCAGACGCCCCAAAATGGAAGGATCAGGATGCCCGACACCGAATACCTCGATTCAAAGGCTCGACGTCGGCGCAGTGAAGCCGTAGGCAGCATAACGCTGAGGCAGCCGCACCCAGCATGTCACTAGCCAGGGATGTTCGTTCTCTTCACACTCCACGCAGCCTGACCCAAGCTCAAAGGCCGCAGCAGGTGAGATGAAATATATTGCATTGTATAATATTTTACTATAGTGAACTATAGTGTGTTGTATTATAATATATAATATGGTATTATGTTGCATGTTCTACTAGCCTATCTCTTATCAGCCTTTGGCTGGTAGGTCTTGATTGCGAGGCACACCCTTGATCTAGTCAAAACTCACTACACTTCAGGCTTAGAAATCACTGGACCAGATAATCAGTGGTCTGGGTGGGTTTCCGAGTCAAGACTTTGCGACTACTCACACCACTAAGTGTCCGCAGATGTATCATGAGGCGGTCACGAAGTGACGGTCTAGACTGCTTCTGTTGCGAGGCCATGCAAGAGGTCTCCGACGGACTCTGTTAGCACCGGTTGAGCCCGTGGGGTCTGACAATGCTGGCAACCATCGCTTGCACATGCTCGCACTGTGTAGGACACGTCCGTAGCAATCTTCGGGAAAGATCAGCACGTCATGGGAAAGGGGTCCTTGATGAGGCACGGGGTCAACATAAGCAATATAATATTCTCACCCTCAAGCAAGTCGTCGTTTGTCGCCTGACACCGGCACGAATTGGTCGGAGTACTGGAGCGTCGCCAAGGCAAAGGTGAGGAGAAGCGTGTGAACCAGAAGCAGGGTGTCCTTAGATTCTGCGTCACCCTGCCCGGCCTTGTGCCTTCTTCTCTGATGGCTCTCGATCACCCTGCCCGCCGACTTTAGTCCCAGGAGCTATCCTGCTCGCATACGTTTGGTGATGGTCTCGGACATCCTCCTTGACTGCATTGAGGAGATCGATCCTGCAGTCACTCAAGGCGCAAATTTATGTATGTGTGTGTATATATACACACACATACGCACATACATACCCACACACACACACACATATATATATATTATGTGTGTATATAAAAACATACGGCATGTGTATAGATATGTATATATGTATGTATGTATATATGTATATATGTATGTATGTATGGCATATGGTATGCTCTGCTATGTGGTAATGTTATGATTTCTCTGCAGCAGCCGAAGGCCAGGCCTGAGGGCCCTGGAGTCGAGGCAGTAGGCCCGGCCTTCGAGCAGAGCCAAGGGCTAGGGTTTTTTTTTTAACCGGACCTTTTTCCCGCAGGGAATGTCGTAACGACTAGGTCGACTCCTTTGGTAAGCAGCCCCTTTCGGCACCTCAGACCAAGGACACAAAACCTCCCGACAGCATCATATCAGCACAGCAGACTTACCAAACTCACTTCTTCACTCCGATGTTCCTTGCTTTTCCGCCCTCTGTGTTCCCTGGTGTGCCCCCGACAAGAACGTCTCCGCTCGCTCTGCAAGGAAGTCCTCAAAGTTCTCCCCCTGTGCCACATTCCCGGTTTCCTGTTCGTACTCCCCTTTGAGCCTCGCCGCATACTCATCGATGGCCTCCAGGTCCTCTGCCGTAATGGTGCCCAGCCCTTGTTCACCCCAAGGTAGCGTCTCCATGTCATCTACATTCACGGCTGCCGAGGTCTCATCCGGCTCCATCACCGTCGGAGCCACTCCATCTCCACTACTGGCCCCTGGTCCACATACTTCGCGATCAGGTCGTTCAGTCGGGCCATCTCGAGAGTGAGATCCTCCAGCGCGGCCACATAGACCAGGAACCACCACCGTGCTCGCTTCACTCGGATGGTCACTCTCATGTTGGCGACCTTCCATCCTCCTGGACGGCGTCGAGCCCCGGCCCTCATCAGTCTCCCTCTGCTGTGGCTCTGTGATCGGTTCCACCCTCAGGGAGATGGAGAGCTCGTTGCGCCCGTCCCACCCAGTAAGGTCGCACGAAACCACAGACGTTGAAGAGCTCGAGCCGCTGCCAACTCTAACCTGGACTCGGAGCTTCCTCTTGCGAAGGTGTCTCTCCGGGCCATTCATCTCATCCCATAAAGCCCAATCCTCCCATGTTTGATATTCTTGCGATGACATCCGAGCTTCTCCCGTCATGGGCTGGCTTGACGTCGCTGGCTCGTTCTGTGCCGCCTGGATCTGCTGCATATGGTCCTCCCACTCTGCCTCCGCCTTCGCTTGCTCTTGTTCCTCCTCCATCCCCCTCTCCATCTCCTGCTGCTCTTTGCCCGTTATGCACTGGAAGGGTAGAGGAGCTGCTTCGTGGATGTCGTGCTCGAGTGCAGCGAGGAGATCCCCCCACCATCCTCGGACGAAGACCACATCCTCGTCTGTCGTTTCAATGTCCGGTGGACCATCCTCCACGTGGCCTGCAAGGGTCGCCTCGGCATCCTGGATCAACTCATGTAGCCCCATTCTGTTCCCATGGGAGATGCTGAACCTCAGAACCAGCCTTGTAAGGATGGCCTTGGCTCGTCGGGAGGCTGTTCGCCGCTCCGTGTTGCTGAGTCTGAAGTTGACCCCCTGCAGCACCAACCGTGTTCGCCCTTGTTGATTCATCATAGATGTAAGAGTCTTCTGCATGAGGTTGTTCAGGTCGGTCTCCTCGTTCTCCCCCACCGCTGCCGCCGCCGGGCCCGCCACTCCTTGGTCTCGCTCTTCGTTTTCCACCCAGTGAGGGACTACACCATCTCTGACTGCAACGATGCCGCCTCGCTTGTCCCTCACACAGCGACACCAGTATTCTGTCCCTCTGACCCACTGCGCAGCCATCATGCCCATAGGGTGGGCAAGCTCCCACGACGGTTTATTGTTCGGCCTCCACCCTTGCCTTGGGTGCTCCTCCTTGGTCACGTGGGCATTCCTTTGGGCGTACACGTTCCACAGGTACCCTTCCATACTTCTGACGATAGTCAAAGCTTCGTCGCGACTTGCACCCTCTTGGGTCTCTTCCATGTCCATGTGCCCTCCGAGGAAGTCAGGGAGAACGTTGGCATAGAGGCTGTACCCGTCATCTCCCCTCGCCCGGATCATAGCGGCCGCTTCCAGCCATGTCTCTCTGCGAACCCCTCGCTGGCCCACACTATCCAGGAGCTGCTGTGTCAGGGCCTTCCACCGCGTCTGTCTCCACACCTCATCCCCCATGTAGCTTTGCGCTTCTCTTTCTCGCCCTGTGTTCCCGTAGTTCTTGTTCCAAACCGCCTGACCTGCGTCCGGAGCCACCCTGCTCGAAGTGGGCAACGAGGAGGTCGAGGACGAGGAGGCCGACGACGAAGTTCCCTTTTCCATCTCGGTCTCCATCTGCACCAGGGAGAGGCCGTCCTCGATGGTAGGTCTCTGCTTCTGCCCTTCCTGGTGCTTCGGATGCCACATAGCCGTTTGTAACCAATATGAGCTGTCGCTGTCCCCATCGTCAACAACCACTTCGACCGTGTCGTCACCCACCTCCACGGCCACCTCGGCAGTGCCAGCATCCCCACCACTGCCTCTCGGGCCCGCTGGTGCTTCCTCACCAGCTCTCTCACACGTGTCTGGTCTACCCGTTGTTCCTTCAGAGCTGCCCCGACCAGGTGTCGAGGAGGACCCTCTTGTCGCTCGGGGACCTGTCGTGGCCGGGGTAGCCGCCCTCAACAACTCCAAGACCTCATCTTGCACCAAGTTCAAACAGAGCGGAAGACTCCGTCTCATAAGGCCAATGGCCCTGGGTGTCATGCTTCGCACCGCCGTTTGTATGTCTGTCTGGACCGCGTCTGGGATGGTGGTGGGAAGACTGTTCTTTGGGGGCTCCGTGAGCCCCAAGAGCTCCAACCACCGCTCGATGGCTTCATCAGACGTCGTCGGCCCTTCATCCACGGTGGTGCCCGATGTCGGTGCCTCGTGCATGGCCCCTCTGGGCATCAACCAGATCGTACTTTCCGTCACTGTGGGGCGGGATCTCCCTGTACGCCTGCTGTTTCTGGAGGTGTCCGAGGAGGTGGCCACAAGGGTTGCAAGGTCCGTCTCAGCGGCAGGAAAGTCTGCACCTGGGTGTTCCGCCGTGTCATCCTCCCTGGGTCGTTTAGGCCTGGAGTTCGTTCCGGTTCGGGGTCCTTCACCTTCACGTCCATCACCCGCTGGATCTTCCGGTGCAGGTTGCCTTTGAAGTAGGATTTCCCGCCTGCGTTTAGCTGCAGCCTCGGCCCTGGCGTAGTTTCTCACCCGTGCTGCCGACGCCTCATATAGGCCTTTCTCCAACAGCCTGACCGTCTCCATCCACTCCTCCGAGAGGCTCGGACCTCCCCTAACCCTGTGTCGCAGGCTGTAGCGGACACACACCGATATAGCTTGGTAGCAGCAGCCCACGTAGCACCGATCCATGAGGGATTCGCCTCGGGGCGCTTCAAGAAGCTGGAGCAACCTATAGGCCATTTCGCCAGCTATCCCCGGTTCATCGATCTGAACCAGCTGCTCAAACGACCTTTCCATCTCGTACACCGCATCGTCTCGAAGGCGCATCCAGTTCTCCATAGGCTGCTCAGCCAAGTCTGCCCCCCCTTGGTTGTCTGGTGCAGGGGTCTGCTCGCTGTGCTCTCCTTGCCGGCACACCGCCGGGGCTGTCGAAAGTGAATTGTTCGCTGGCTCAGAAGGTTGAGAGGTCGAAGACGAAGTCAGCTCCTGTGCGGGCAGGCACCCATGGGGCGCTGCTGAGCAGTTTTCCTCGCCTTCGCCAAGCACCTGTGCCTTAGGCAGAAGTGCACACATATGGATCATCAAAGTGAGGAG